ACCATAGGTAAGTATATGTATCATAGGTATCGAATGTATTATATATACATATATATTGGGTATATGTATATATGCTGGATATATGTAGCGGGTATATATCAAAGGTATACCATGGGAAAGAGTTTTTTTCTTTTATAATTCTACCATTTTACTTAAGTAACTTGTGACAGATATAAAGAAGTAATCAAGAAAGAAACGAAAAGGCTCAAAACTTTTCTTCTGTATCAAACAGCCGTCACAAGTTCTGTCACAAGTACCTGCAAACAACTAGTGACATCTAGTGGCAACTTGTGACAAAATTTTGGCAAGCTAATTTGATATACATCGATATAACATATCTTTTAACATGATCGAAATCTCGAATGACGACGCAAGCGCGAATTGTTCGTCACTCTCATGATGGAGCGAATACTAATATATCTGACAATGCAAGGGCGAATCGATCGTCACTCGAATGACGACACAAGCATGAATAGTTCGTCACTCGAATGACGACACAAGCGCGAATCGATCGTCACTCAAATGATAGAGCAAATACTAATATATCTCTGACGACGCAAGTGCGAATCGTTCGTCACTCGAATGATGACAGGCATATGATCCCGTCGTCAGATATAACCTAGATTAAGTGGAAATAACATAATTATGTTATTTCCACTGCAGCAGGGTTTTTTTCCAGAATTCTGGTTTTTTTTGCCCTGCCCGCCAAGTTAGCAGCATAGTTAGCAGCATAGTTAGCATAGTAGCACAGTAAGTTGTTCATGCGATACTCTCAAATTCTGTATTTGTAATATGGGCACAATAGCACGAAGGCGGAAGGGGCAGATAACCCGTAATTGTATTCCATAGTTTTTTGAAACACCTCCTCGATGAGTGACAAAAACTGGCCTAAATTAGCGTTAGGGTTAGGGTGAGAAGGTATAATTTAGGCTAATTATTGTCGATCAGTTAATGCTGGCCAAACAATCAACATCTGAGGTGCGTCAGCTGCAATCTGAGGCGAGCGTTAATCTGAGGCACAACATATATATCAACATTGGACAGTCACGTTAAAAAAATAGGCATAGTTGGACTTGCCTAGAGTTTTCAGGATTATTGATACATTATGTGATTTTGAATTAATTAATGTAGTTTTATAATAATTGTTGCGATTTATTGTTCAGAATTTTCGTATATTGAGCAAAAAATTTGCCAAACTTAGTTTGTATTTAAATAATTACTCCAGAATATTTACAAACATTCTGCACAACCATTTGTGCAAGCAGTATACAAAATTGTAGTATGACGCATCCTAATATCCTTGATGTTCCTCGAAAATGGTATTAAAGAATATCAAACTAAAAACTATGATGTCGTTTGGAGATGCTTTGATGGGCATACAAATCTTAAAATAACGTACTTAAATATTGGAAGGGTTATTATCTGTCAACTGGATCTAGACTGCACTTGGTCTTTTTAAAGAGGCAGTGGATAATGGTATTTCGGATGCTCAACTTCGTTACGCGTTTATCCTTCTTGAATATAAATTAAGAATACTTTTGATGTAATGAAATACCTGATGGCAGTAGACTATGAGGATCCCGCCGCACTTTTAATATAGGTGTTATTTATTGGAACAGGAAACTAGGACTACCAAATGATAAAGAGAAGGTCGAATAATACGGATTAGCTGCTTTGAAAAATCAACCTTAAGTGATTCGGCTTTTAGAAGAAATTAGAGCAAAAAAAAAACTTCAAAAATCTTAAAAATTTATATTGTAATATACTTTTCACTTAAACCATCTGATACTCAATTGCCATTACCAATTTTGATCGGTTCCGCATCGTTCCCATAGAATTAAGGATGAAAAAAACAATTTTACTTTTTTACCGATTTAAAAACAGGTGTTCCGAATACGTAGTTAAATTTGTTTTTAAATTTATTAAAAAACATAATCATCACCTCTTTTTTAATTACGTAATAAAAGACATTTCCATCCAACGTACGTACGTAAAATACGAAATTTTTATATACAAGTTACACTCGTTATAGTGAACTTCTTGTATAGTGAAGAACAATTTATATAAAAATCCTCTCGATATAGTGAATTTAATAATAGACTATCGATATAGTGAAGAAACCCAATCATTTCATTATAACGACGCAAACATTTGACTGTTATCCAATCTGATTGTATGATCGGTAACATACAAATGCGAGTAAAAAATTAAACGAAAAAAAAAGAAATCACAAAATTTAGCCTTTTGTTATTTAATAAAAGTTTTCGGCACAAAATTTAGATATATTCTTTATATTTTATATTAAGGATTTTATTTTTTATCGCCATAGCGATGTATCGCGACTTAGTTGTCGCGTCGTATCAGGTATGTCGGGATTTCAATATTCAAACTCCGATTATGATTAGCAATATAGATTGAATATTGAAACCATGATATCACATGAAGCGACAATTAAGTTCGGGATTTTGATTTTTGGAATTTTGATTTTCGGGATTTTGACTTAAACCCGGGGTAGCTATAGCGATAAATTATAAAGCCCTTATATTAATACAACCATTAATTTTTAGACTAAAATTAGGATACCATTGTTGTTTAATTAGTCACGAGACCGCCAAAGTTTGCGCCATCACTATTTCACTTTTTGGTCCACTCAAGATCTTTTTTCATATTTGAGAATTTTATACAAATGACTTGATATGAGGAGAGTCTGCAAATCTGGTTTTCCTGCCGGGCTCAGCCCCAACTGTTTTTTTTTTATAATTTTGTAATCATGGACGGTGTTACCAAAACGATCAGGCGGCATTGATCCCGTCATAATACAATTAGATTTTTCGGGGGCTGAGTTCGATCAATTTACAGGTTTCCCTTCGTAGCACCTGGGTCCAGTCAAAATCAATGGCCATCCGAAGTCTGTACAGCACAAAAGCCAAGTACGTACGTACGTATGTCATAAAACTATCCAACTTTAACCAAAAATTGCCTTCCCGATATTTTTATTGGTGCATTAGGATAGATTTAGAAATTCGCTCTTGTATTTTTCTCTTTCTTACTTTAGTTTTTTTGTTTTTGGCTCCAAATATATAGATACAGTATATAGTTTGTTCCCTCTAAAAATAATATTCCATCAAGTGCAGGTTTTCGCATTTTTCCTTATGGTCCCGCTGAAATGCACAGTTACAAAATACTTTGTAAATTGTAAAAACAAGTTACTCTTTCAGTTTACGATTTTTTATCGTTATATTATTTATTATTTTTTTTTTAATTGTTATGTAGATATTATATGATACAATATATAGAAAATTTTCGGCTTTTTAGTTAGTAATGTCAATATTCAGCGATAGAAACATGAATAAAAAAAAGAAATTTTTTGGCAATGAAATTTCGACCAATAAAAATAAAAAAACGTGATCAAGACTGAATAAAAATTCTCGGATCTACACTTCCTTTAAGAAGACTTTGTCACATGAAATAATCGGCAAGGCACTATAACGTAACGCTAATGCTAATAGGGCATTATATCAAATGACTAACAAACTAATGATACGATTTTGTATATGATAAACACTATGAAATATGCATTTTTTGCTGATCAACAGATAATTCAAGGCCTAATTCTTGAAAAATTGTCGCCGATCCACGATATTCAAAAAAATTAACCTTAAACGTATTAACAATAAAAAAAAGCTTTATTACAGAATTCCAAAAAAGATTATTGCATTATAATTATCCTAAAATGGATACAGGAGATTTGGAAAAACATGAAATGCAAAGAAAGATTGACTGGATCGATGATAATTCAGATTGTAAATTCGGATTGTAAATAAATAATTAGATCTAATTACTTTAAAAAGATGAGGCAGAGAAAATTAAGTACTGCAAGATAAAGAATCGAAATTAAACACGTGATGAATCTTCTTTTTTTTCCTTACTTATTGTAATAAAGATAAAGCAAGCAACATATTTTTAACGTTTAACGTCATGAAAATTAAAAAATATTCAATTTCAATTTGTTCCTTAACGAAAGCTATGTAAGTAATTATCCGTAGGCGTGGTAAAAAAATAAAAATACAAAATCAGAAAATTACGCGAATTCTAAATTTGAATTCCAATCTGAATAAGGGGCTTCACTGATTATTGTGTAGGATAAAAAAGAAATTCTTTTTTGCATGTCAGTATTGTGAAAATATGTATTACACGAACACACGAACAGGATTACAAGATTTTTAGGACAATTACAACAAATAAGGTTACAAAGTCTTTAGGAATTTGACTTTTTACCCACCAATAAAGAACAATTTGAAGGGTACTTCTAAACCGAGGTTTTTAAGGCTTTGCATGATGAATTTTGATTTAGCCACATAATTAAAACTGATAGGTTGTTGCTAAAAGTGTTTTTACACGCGAGTTTACACTTTAGATTTATAACTTTTTATCGAGAACATAATATAGGATCTTATATTCATACCAAAGCCTTTTGAAATAAAATTATTATAGTGTTGACCAAGCCTTTCCGAAACATTCACTAAGAGGCTTTGGATGCTATTGGTTTTTCCAAAGTCAATTCGTACAACGCCTAAAAACTTATATGATTAAAAAAAGTATAAAATATTCCTAAGATGAAAACTTACATACACACACACGCATATACTCTTTTTTCTCTTTATACCTTAGAAACATTTGTTTCATTTTGTCGCCGTTATCATATCAAAATGAAAATTTCATTTATCGTATTCTTATGTATTGCGCTTCTCATTTCAACAGCTGTTTGGGCATTGCCAAGTTTATCACGCAAAAGATACAATTTATATGAATTAAAAAATGCCGAAAATTTTCTATATATT